ACCCTAATATAAGTAGCATAAGGGATTATGTCAATGAAGAGGAGGCAATATTATGGAAATAGAAGTTCATATTAGATGCTGTTTTAGTCAGGGTTCTCCAAAGAAACAGAACCAGTAGAATGAATATGTATAGATATTTATCAGCTTAGCTCACAGGATAGAGTCTGAGTAGTTCAACAATGGCTGCACCACACTGGACAGGCTGAGAATCTGTAGTCGCTCAGTCCACGAGGCTGGATGTCTCAGTAGTCCCAATCTGGTGATGAAGGTCTGACAAATTCCAAATATCAGCTAGACTTCAGTCTACAGCATCAAGACAAACTCACCAACGAGAGAGAAGGCAAGCAGCAAAAAGCCCCGCATTCTCCTCTGCCTTGGTCTTTTATACCAGCTGCCATCAGAAGGTAACACCCACATTTAGGGTGTGTCTTCCGGCTTTAGATGATCCAATGAAGAAGATCTCTTTCATTTCCGTTAATCTCAGATCCAATCATGTTGACACCCAGGATTAGCCATCACGGATGCTAAAAGCTTTTGCAATGTGATGGCAATTAAGAACTCTGTAGCAGGGAAAGACTAGAGATAGAAATGGGGACGTGAACAGGAGTCTTTCCCTACCCCCTGTGCTTATCCAGGATAGAAGTCTTTGTTTTCCAAAGCTATCAGATTCCTGGAGCTAAATCTTTGTTGCCTCAGGCTTTTGCATTCCTGTATCGATTGCATTTCAATACCCTTTGCCACCCTATTTTATCTTACTAATCACCATGTATATGCTATGTACCTTTGGCTTGCTTTCCTCACATGAGTAGAAAAACCTCCAAATCATGAACAAGGGTCTTACTCCTTTGATTCCTGGTGTTAGTCCTGTTAATCTCAAATTAAACTTCCTCTCCTCACCTCAAAGGAGATTGTTTTCTAGAAATTCAGAGCAAAAGTAATAAAATGAAATTGGAGCTTCTCTTTGATTTGACTTTGGTTATTGGCATCATTCTGCCTATTTCTAAAAATGAAAAAAATCTCTTATTTTTGTATTAAATTTCTCTTAACCATTCTCTTCATTTGTCAAGTGCACTGGAAGGCCCTACATCTCCTTGAATACTGCTCTCACAGAAAGGTACACAATCATCTCAAACTCGTGCTTACCAATTTCACATTATTTAGAGGAGGCAATAAGCAAAAAGTGTAAAATTCATGCTCTCATGCTCTGCCCATGTTTAGCCTTCATCCTGAGGACGATCCACCCTGTCAACAGAGATGCGGATATAGATCAGAGAAGAGTTTCAATAACATTAATATTTACTTATTGTTTTTACTTTTAACGTTTTTAAAAATTGTTACAAAAACTATTGAGAATTTCATAATGCATATATGGTGTTTTGATCAAATCTATGCTCACTCCATCCTCTCCAAAATTCCCCCTCTGAAGTGGTAAGCCTAAAATCTTTTAATGGTTAGGTACAAGCTCCCAAATACTTTTGACATTTTTGGCCTTGGAACAGAATATGTTGCTAATAGGCCCAATGACATTTTGACATTTATCCAAGAAACTGGCTGCATTTCTTTGGCTCTTTATACCCTAGCTGCCTAGCCAATTCATACCTCCTATTCTTATCATGCCATCCTCTGAAGGGGTTACCCAAATTGCCAGTAGGGAATAGGGTATATTTATAGAAACAGTAAGATGTAAGTCCCAAGATCTGAGGTCACAAAGTGGATTTTCAAGAGCAGCAATAGTTCACTGCTACAGATTCCCAGTTCCTCTATTTTGTTTATGGACTTCCTCTTGCTGTTTTCAAAACCCTGTAATTCCAAGTATCTTAAATTCTTTTCCTGTTGCTTTCATAAAATACTCTGATGAATACTAAAGGAATAAAGGGTTGATCTTAGTTCTCGGGTGTAGGTTCCAGTCTTTCATGGTGGGGAAAATCTCAGTGACAGAACTGGAGGCAGCTGTTCATATATCATCTTCACTCAAGATGCAGAGAGTGATTATCGAGTGCTTGGCTTGCTTTGTCCGTTTATACAATCTAGCATCCCAGATGAGGAAGATGGTGTCACCTACAATGGGTGAGTCTTCCCACCTCAATAATTCTACTTAAGACAATCTCCAAAGTGGTTGAAGTGGCTCAGCAGTTAAGTGTACTGGCTGCTCTTGCAGAGGACCCAGGTTCAGTTCTCAGTTATAACAACTGTCTGTAACTCCAGTTACGGTGTATCCGACACTCTTTTCTGGCCTCTGTGGGTAATGCTCACAGGTAATGTACTTATATAACATGCAAAGAAAAAATCATTCACAGACATAAAAAAAATCAACCACAGAAAGAGCCACTACCAGGTTTGTCCAGTGTGTAATCTAAACTTGAGAAGCCCTCACAGATGTGACTCAAGGCTTATTTCTTCTATATCCTGTTGACTATACTAACTGTCACACCAAATTTGATAAGGTGGGACATGCAACCTAGCTCAGTTACTATATGTTAGTTTCATTTTCTGTTGCTATAACAGAATAGGGGACTGGGTCATTTATAATGAGGTTTGTTTTGATGCAGGCTTCTGGAGGTTGGAAACAAGATCAGGAATTCTCACTTGGGGTGAGAGTCTCATGTTTGATAACTCATGACACAGTGAAGGGAGACAGAGCAGACAGGTGTGTGAACGGGAATTGTGAAGGATGGAGATGCCTAATAACAAATGCTTACAGAGATGATTTTTTTAGTGACAGTCTCACGTAAGTACATCTGGCTTGCCTGGAACTCAGCGTGTAGACAAAACTGTCCTTGAATTTGTGGGAATCCTACTTCTGCATCCTGAATAGTGGGATTACAGGAGTGTGTCACCAGGCCTGGATTAACATGAGTTTTTTTTTTAATATTATTATTTTTTTTCAGAAGAAGCGTATCATTACAGCTTTAATATGCTCAATAACAGTTTCCAGAGCAAAGATACAGCTCTTTCAAAAGTGGCTATAAAATTTTTAGGTTCGCTGTTGAATTACTACAAACCATATTCAAACTATCATGATGTGTCAACATTTCTAAATTGCACGTCTGGTGGGTCAAGTTTGTAGAAATTTAGGAGACAAAACAATGAAAACTATTTTTTTATCTAAGAAATGTTGCCTGAAGTGCTAAATTTGTTTACTTCTTATCAGCCCTTGAAGTAGGCAGTTCTCCTGGTGAACCTGTGAAAAAAACAGTTTGAAGACTGAGAGTGTCATGGTCACATTTCATCAGTATGAAAAGATTTTAATATTTGAGTTACTTTGAGTTCAAGTAATACTTAATGTTCAATGAAAACCTCGACACAGTTGCCAGGTTATGGTCAAGCACTATTTTATGTATCATATATGAAAATCTCAGCAACCTTGAAGGCAATTAGTAGTGATGGCTCCAAGACTTAAAGAATTAAGAGAATTCCAGATGTCCCTGGGGAGCCGGAGCTGGTATTTCCAGTCATATCTCCCCAGTTCCAGAACTTGTGCCCTGTGGCAAGTGTTTTACAGAAATTCTAGAACCTCTGAATCCACAATTTGTCCATGTTCTCTATATTGAATATGGTCTTACTTAAAACATGGGTCAAGAATTAGCTCTAAGGACGTGAATGATTGCTCAACAGTTGAGAGCACTGGATGCTCCTGCAGAGGACCTGGGTTTGGTTCCCAACATCCACGTGGAAGCTAATAACCTTCTGTAGCTCCAATTATGGGGGATTCCCAACCCCCCAAAGATGGAAGAAAGTGATTTGGAAAGTGGGCTTGATGCCCTTGAAGTTGTTGGAGGCTTCCTAGGCTCAAATGATCATAATTCATGAGTTATGGGGCCTGATCTTCATGATCACACACTTCCAATGACTTAGTGAGCTTTGGGTTCTTTTCTTGCAAATGCAAAGAATGAAACTCATAGATAATGAGAAGATGAGTTTATAAGGGCTTTATTAAAGTTTATTTTATTTATTTTATGTGTATGTGTGTATTGCCTACATGTAGGTAAGTACATCCATGCCATGCAAAGCTCTCGGAGGTCAGAAGAGGATTTCAGATCCCCTAGACTGGAGTTATGGACAGTTGTTAGCGGCCATGTGGGTGCTGGGATTTGAACCTGGGTTTTCTGCAAGAACAACCAGTGTTCTTAACCACTGAGCCATCTCTCCAGCCCTATAAAGAACTTTTGTTATAGATTCACAGGTAGGAGGTGAAAAGAAACAAGGCAGATCTCCTAAAGAGTCCTGGTCCTGGAAATGGGATAGCATCAACTGGGTGCTTTTTGTAGCACTGATAGCAGAAACTGGGTAGAGAATGGGGAACAGGCCAGTCAATTTGTCCCATCCTTGAGGGTCTCCTCTCACTCTCAGACACATCATCAGTGCTCATGTACAGCTTCTAGGGGGCTTTATTTAGGAGAAGAGATAGGAAGGAATCAAGAACCAGATCTCTTCAGACATTTGTAGCCTGTGGCAAAGGCATTTTCAGAATTGTTGCTTTTATTTTCATAGGAAAGAAAGGAAGGAAGGAAGAAAGAAAAAAGTAAAGAAGGCAGGAAGGAAGAAGAAAGGGATGAGAGAAAAGAAAAAGTACTGTGTAAATAACTTAAATGTACAACACTCAGGGACTTCTTAACGGTACAGATTATATATATGCATATATATGTAAATATCTGTGTGTGTGGTCAGGAATTACATGCGGCATTAAAATTTTTATTGTACCAGCAGGAGAGATGAGTCGATGGTTAAAAGCACTGGCTGTTTCTGCAGAAGACCCAGGTTTGAAGCCCAGCACCCACATGTCAGCTAACACCTGTCTGTAACGCTAGTTTTAGGGTATTGGATGCCCTCTTCTGTCCTCTGCAGGAACCTCCTGACACAGATGTATTACATGTATGCAGGAATGACACTCAAACACATAAAATAAAAAAATCTTATTGTAGATGCATATTTTTAAATGCAGAAATGCTTTGTGTTTATTAGAAAATAATCAATCAAAATCATGACACAGGACTGAAGAGATGGCTCAGTATGTACACTTCCTGCTTTACAAGCATAAGAACCAGATTTCACATCCCCAGAATACAGGTAAAAAGCTTAGAGTGTTGTTCTGTGTCTGCAGCCCTAGTGCTGAGGAGATGAAGACCAGAGGACTCCTGAAGTTCACTCGCCAGACTAGTGTTGAGCTCAACTTAGTGATGGACTGTATCTCAAAAGAAAATGAAGAATAATATAGGAAGACCCCATCTTCAAAGTCTGGCCTTGACAAACTTGTGTACACATGTATGCACACACCTGCACATACATATGCACATATATATACATACACCTCACACACAGTATATAAACCAATGCCTTTATGTAATCTTAGCACTGAGCAAACTAAGTCAGGGACTATGAATTTGGATCCTGCCTGAGCTTCCTAGTAAGTTTCAGACTAGTCTCAGTGGCATTACAAGACCCTGTCTCAAACAAAAGAAAAAAACACCAAACAAAACAATGTACCAAAGGATTTTGCTCAGTGATACGGTGATTGCACAGCATCCTCATGGATTTGATCTCCAAGAATCATAAAGACCACTCAATTTAACTGTCAAATATGGAATGATATCAGCTTTCATAGTAAAGATATGTAATAGAGTTATATATCTATGTCTATATATGTATCCTGAAAAATTACCCACCAAAAATTTCACAGTGCAAATGTGACTGTTTTAAATGTATTTCTAAAAGATAATTTCTTGGAATAAATATAATTTAAAAATAAGAAATAATCTCTCACTTTAAATTGTAACAATTAATAAAATTTATAACAGACACTTAAAGAATTTGTGGCTAAGGAATGTAGAAACACCATTTAGTGTGTATAAATTGTATTTATATACAGATGATTTAGTCATCTTCTTGCAAGTGGTTTTCTTTAATAACATTAGATTTTTGCTAAAGATATCAGCAGTGTTTTCTCTCAGACCTGTTCCTTTAGCTTTTTGGTCAAATAACTTTGAACATGATTTTGCAGCATATCAAGTGCTTATTTCAAATAGAGGAATATGGACTTTGCTACCATCTTTCCCTCCTGGTCAGCCTCAGCTTTCATCACATAATTTCCTCTTTTCACTTTGGTGAAGAGGAGGGGCCGAACATCTTGAGCTATTGGGTCCCTCTGAGGCCATGCGTTTCTGCCTCTGTCCTTGAAGCCTCTGAGGGGTACAGGACAGAAAGGCCTGCTCCTCCCTGCCTGGGGACCAGTTCACTCCACTGTATCACTGAGATACAGGTAATAGCTGCTTTTATTCCCACATGTTTTTGCTTCATGTGATTCTATTTATTCTCAGAAAAGGCTTTTAATTCAAATGTGGCAAGAGAATGAGGCAGGAAAGTCCTAACTGATCATGTTTGAACTGTGTCTACTCTGAACCTGAAAGCTGCAGTTCAGCATTGAATAAAGTTATTTTCTCTTTCTCATTGTGCTGTGGCTTTTGCTGTGTGTATCACAGATGGTTTTGCAGAGTTAATTATTTTTTAAGTAGTTTAAATGATTACATATGGTCTTAATCTACTTTGAAAAATTTGGGAATAGGAAGATCCCCTTTTCTTAAAGAATTAGATAAATATGAATAAGTTTAGAGAATATCAAAAATTAAGACATTTATTAGACGTATTAGACATAAAAATTTGTTTTCTTCTGTTTATCTGCTAAATATCTTGTACTGATTAGTGTAGGAAGCAAGGTAAATTATAAATCACATTTAATAATTTCTATATTCATTTTCATGATCAGACTGGATTCAACTACCTGTTGACATGTTTTGTTTTAACATAGTATCCTCTGACATCATATACTGGACTGTGACTTATGAAGTGTTCATGTGCATAAACTCATTTGGGATTAAAAAACATGTGTTTCGGCTTTAACTCAGGAGACTTTTATTATTTATCACATGTGGAATCTGAAATGTTGACCTTCTGCAGTATTAACTTTCAAATAATTCTTTTGCAGATGGTTTCTGGGATAGTTTGGGAAACACAAAATCATATGAAATTGAAAAGAACACAAAATATTTTATATGAACATGAGTCAGAATATTTGCAAAAGTTTTTAAAACAAAGGTATTTATTTTTTGGAAAGTTTTGAGTATTTTTATTTGTTGATAGTTTAAAAGTTTTGAGTTCAAGAGATTTAAGGTGGTATCAGTTTTGCCAATCATTTTTATGTTGAATATTTTGAACAAAATTGGCTGTATCAATAGATGGTACTTTATTACCGTCTTTATTAGTAGATTTTAAAGTTTTTCTGTGTTCCCTGATCATCGCTGAGATCATTAGACATGTAAAAGTTATAAAGTGAATTGTTAAAAAGATTTCCACTTCTTGTGTAAATCAGACTGAGTCCATATGCTTTGCAGTTTTAGATCAGTAAAGGAGGTAATAATACCTACTTGCCCCCGCAATACGAAATCCTAAATGTTCCTAAAGGTTGCATTTTAATTTTTTCTTTAGCCTGAAATCAGCTCACGGCAAAGTTTTGAAACTTCACTTACTTCCAAGATGAGTGAGCAGGAAGAGTCTTATTCTTACTCAGTATTTCTTAAGTCTTCCTCAGAGCAGCAGAGTAGAGTAAAACCTGGTGGGACTCAAGGGCCTAAAGAAACTGAAGACAGAGGTGTGTTTTAAACGTATAAATTTGTCTCTTTGCTGTACATGGTAAACTTTTCACATTTGAAAAACATCCTACCTGCACTTCTGACTGTCTCCTGGTAACAGGAGCACAAAATGGGTAAAGTTGTACAGTACAAGGATTTTTAAGGGAGGATTTGAGAAGGAAGAAAGGAGTGCATTTTTGTTTGTTTTTACTTTTTGAGTCAGGATCTAATGTAGACTAGACTGGTCTTGAATTTGTTCTATAGCCAAGGGTGGCTTTGAACTCCTGATCCCACGGTTATGAGTGGTAATGGGTCATGTTTGCTCTTTCCCTGGTGATTATTTTCTGGGATTTTTACTTACTGAAGAGGGCTTAATCTCCGGGCCTCTCATTGCAGTGGTTCTTGGGATCCTTTGTTTCCTTCTGTTGGTGGCAATTGCAATGTGGGTGACACAGAGTGAGTGCCTGAAATATATGATTTGTTAAAAATCGTTTTGTGTAAGTTATAACCATGGACACTAATCATGCAGTTACTAACACACTCTAACTACTGTCCAGTGCATAATGCTGGCTCTGGAATTTGTGGGATATATATATTTTTTAATTCGACACACTACTGTGCCGTTTTCTCTTTATGTGCTCCTTCAACTAGGGCCGTGCTGAGCTCTTTGTCGTAACTGTGGTCATTTTCCTACTAAACAGAGGACAAAATAAAATTCCACCTTCTGAGCCAAGGTGATTGTGACTCTGAAATAAACATATTTCAGAAAAACCTGTTCAAAAGAATTTATGGTGTTTTTTTTTTTTTTGATTTTTAAAAAGTATCTATTGAGGACATGGTTAAGTAGAAAGACTGATTTAGGACCAGCAAGATAATGCAGCTGACACAGTGCTTTCTGTTAAGCCTGATCATCTGCGTTGGATCCCCAGGACCTATATGGTAGGAGAGAACTGACTTTTAAAGTCGTTCTCTGATGACCACACACATGAAAACACATGAAATTATTAGATGCAGTTTTTCACAAAAAGATGGGATCTGTACGTAGACACTAGACGATCGTGAGTCTAAGATCTTTAATTTGAATTTCCTTCTCAGCTTCAGGAAAACTCACTGACAGTCCATGTTCAACTACAACTACATGTTCCAATACAACCCTTCTATGGAAATTCCACTTGCTCCAATAATAATTATGCCATTTCTTCACGTTCTTATTTTCATGATGCGTTGTGTTGGCTAAATTTTTTTCCTTTGGTTTTATTTGTAAGTCATTTTGTGTGAAAAGATGAAGGAACTGAAATGTATGATAGTGATGAATTCTTGCTTTTTACACATTATTACTAGTGAGAAGGTCACGATTCCATTTCTATGGTCAGTTGTGTTATTTTCTAAATGTTGAAATACTAACAAAGTCATGATTTATGTCAGTAGTCAACAGGAGGTTTTCTCTTGTATGTTAATTTTCAGTTTTTTCCCCTTTAAAATCATTTTTTCTATTTTATCTGATATTAGTTTTAGTTTTTCAGCACAGTCAAGGAAAGCATCATGAGGAAAATATAAACCTCAGTCAAGAGTACCACATCATGCTGTATGAACTGAAGTTAAAGGAAGAAATGTTGAAAAATAAGTCTATAGAGTATGAGAGCCTCAAAAACCTAACAGAAAGGAAAATATGTCATGGGAAGAATAAGATCATTTTAAATTGTTCAAAGTCTGCAGGTATGGAGGAAATCTTGAATAAAATTCCAAAATATTTCATATTTTTTCTTCTCTCAAAGCTTTGAGATGTAACATGCAGGGTATGAGCTTGTGACCTGTGGGTTCATGGGCAATGTGGCTCTCTTAAATATAAGTGGGCTTCCTTATCTCAGGTACAGAACTGGATCCTCCCAAACCTGTTCAGATTAGTAGAACCTTGTAGTTTCCAACACTCAGAGCCAGTCTGGTATTCCTGTTGCCTGTAGGAGATGAAACAGTGTGTTGTCTCCCCTGAAAATTCAGGTCACTTTGCTCCTGTGAGCAAATCTGAGTCTCTCACTTTGTTGTTGACATGGAACGTGGAAGCTGTCAGTCAGAGTATATTTACTAAATAATTACGCTAAGAATGATTCAAAGGGTTTTATATGAGTGCAATTATAAAAATAATTCTGTGTGTATGTGTTTGAGTGTTTTCATTCTGTCGTTCCTTCAGACTGTTGACCTATATGTGACTGAAATATCCTCCCTGCAGCATATACATGAGCTTTATCATAGCATCCACACTTGTGCAGCTCCGTGTAATCATGTCCAAGAGATGATGATATGAAATATCAATAAACTTTTCTATTTTGCATAGGGGGTGGTTATCTTTAATTCTCTACTCAATAATTATTCATCATTTGTTCAAAATTTAGTTTACAAAGAGCTTTGTGTATAATCTTACTGTTCTATGATAGCAGGAATTGATTATTTTCACTATTAAATGATCAATAATATTTTAAAACTGGTACACTGTAAAATATATGAAAGGAAAAAAACTCCAAAAATAAAGCTCTTGGCATTTCTGAACTAAAATTATTTTAGTTTATATTCTTAAAATAGGTTTGTTATCTGTATATAAGGGCATAATGCTATAATCTCAACAAGTAGGAAACTGAGGAAGGAGGACTGCAAATTTTGATCATCATGGAGTACATAGCAAGTTCAAAACCAGCCTGAGCTAACTTGTCACCTAGGAAAACAAGGGCTGGACATGACTAGTACACGTTGTTATCCCAAGCATCACACAGAAATATCTCAATTTTATTGTGCTATTATTGATTCACAAAATGGCACATATTGTAATGTATTCAGCTTGATAAGTTTGGGAATACAGACATACCAGTGAAACTATCACCACAATCAGGAAAACTGACTAACTTCGTCAAATGCTTCTTCATCTATCTCTTTTTTTCCTTTTATGGTAAGAACACTTAACATACATCTGAGCAAAATTTTAAATGAATGGAGTTTGGACAACTTTTGTGTTACAGCAAATCTCTAAAATTTAATCATATTGTATAACTGAAACTGTCTGAGCTAAAACTGTCCAGTTGTCCTTTCCTCTAGTATCAAGTGTTTTAAGCCTCTGCTTCTTAGATTATGGCTATGTTAGAAAGTTCCTAAGAATGGAATCATGAAGTATTATTCTGTGCCTGGCTTATTTCACTTAGCATTATTTCCTCAAATTCATACACATTCTCACATATGTTAGGATTTGTCTTTTTATGGGAGAGGTGAGAGACAGGGTCTTAATTCTGTATCTTGGGCTGGTTGGACTCAGAATGGTGATGATCTCCTGCTTTAGGCTGGGATTATAGGTATGATTGACCATTCCCAGGTGGATTTTCTTCCTTTTAAATGTTGAATAGTACTCTTCTATATAGGTGTCCTTCATTTTCTCTACTTACCTATCAATGATTGGACATTAAAGTTTTTTTGTATGTCCTGGCTTTAGTAAACAATGTTGAATGCCACATGTGTGAGGAAAGATCTCCTGGCACTCTAGAATTTTGATTTTTGAGAGTTATAAGATATGAAACAAGCTTAAGGTTTAAAAGTGGTGAGATTTTATTTAGTTATAGAGGCTTAATAAACTCATTGCTAAGACTAACAGAATACCAGATAAGAGTCTAAACTTCAATATTCATTTTCTCTACCCACGTATCAATGATTTGAAATTGAAGTTCCTTTGTATATATTGGCTTTTATAAACAATGTTACATGGGACATGGGTGTGCAGAAATCTCTTAGCACTCTAGAATTTTGATTTTCGAGAGTTATAAGATATGGGAAAAGCTTAAGTTTGAAGAGTTGTGAGATTTTATTTACTTATAGAGGCTTAATAAACTCATTGCTATGACTAACAGAATACCAGATAAGAGTCTAATGATTCACCTTCAATATTGCAGGCAAACGCTTTGAAGGACATTTGTTCTGTTGTGGCACAAAATGTTATTATGTTATCATGGAAAGGAAAACATGGAGTGGATGTAGGCAGATTTGCAATGAATGCAGTTTATCCCTTTTGAAAATCGATGACAGTGATGAACAGGTACTATAGACTCTAAATACACTTTATTTTCTTGGACTCTGTTACCCTTGGATAGTAGATGCTGAGGCCAGGGAGGAGTTTAGAAAGAAGGCCCTTCAAGTACTGTGTGTTTTATCTGTAATATGAGCAGAAATTTGGCAGTTAATTCTCCCAGGAGACACTGGCCTGCTACTTTTTAAGCATTCAGGACACCGCATCTATTATGATAAGCCTGGTTAATAAGGTTGCAGTTGGGACTTTGCAATAGCCTCCGTTCTAAAGGAGTCTACAAGAGAGTCTCACAGAGAAGCATGCTTTCACTGGATCAAGTTTAACCCTTTGGCAAATTCAACCTGGTATCAACAATTATTTATCTTCACAGAATGACAACTAAAATCCCACAGACAAAAGTTGGGTTACTATTAAGGAACCAGATATGTTGCTTAGAAGAGGTCCGTTTCTGTCATTTACCAGCCAGGTACTGTGTAAAGTAGTTGACCTCTCTGGTTGTATCTGCAAAAGAAATGATAATAAAGACCATGGAAGTCATGACGGTTTTACCAGTAAGCCCCGTGGTGGTATTCATTGCATCCATCCATAACATTTACCTTATCAGTATTCTTAAGTACTGTATTAAGTTGTCTGTCCTTGAAAGAGAATTACTAGAACAGAAAATATAGTGGCCTTGATACTGAACTCTCTATTAAGTTTATTACTAAATAGAGCGTGATTTTTGAAAAAAATTTACATATTTTTATTTCTTGTGTATGACTGTTTTACCAACATATATGTAAGTGCACCCATATGCGCAGTGCCTGAGGATGCTAGACAAGGGTCAAGAACCCCTGGAATTCAAGTTATGGACAGTTGTTGGCAGCCATGTGGGTGCTGGGAACTGAACCTGGGTACTCTGCAAGAACAAACAGTGCTCTTAATCACTGAGTCATCTCTCCAGTCCCAGGATGTGTTTTTATAGAGAATAACTTGCAAGGATAGTCCTAAATCCTCTAGTTCCTTATAAATGAAAGTGATGTGAAAATATCCCAAATTTAATAGATTTTTTAAATTATAACATGAAATAATTATTAATCACAAATAGCAAAATAACTTTCCAATGATGAAGTAATGTTAAATTAAAACCGGTATTTTTTTAAAAAATTCAGTAATTTAGACTTCATGGCACTGTGATAATATATTTCAGTCACATTATAACACATTTAAGTCACAAACATCTCTCCTTTCCTTCTTGTTCTTATATGGTCTGGACATTGAGCAACGGAAATGTTTCCTCTGTGAAAAATTTAGTTTTAATGCACTTTTTTCGTACACACTATTCATCTTAATTTGCTTTGACGATCCCTCCTGTCACTGAAGATGACACAATGACCACTTCCCCACAGCCCTTATTCTTCTGGAAAAAGAGTTTAAATGCTTCCTTAAAGTATCAGAATCATATAATGAGGCAGATTTGCCTGTGTACTTGGAAACCGGAAGAGGAGGATTGAAAATTCAAGGCTAGAGTGGGCTACATAGTGAGAGCACATCTCAAAAGAGAAGTCACGGTCACAAATTGCTTAAGGAATTGTTAGATACCTAAACTCTACTTCTTAAATTACTTGTGAATTAGATACTAATTTTGATTTAACTGTTCTACCAATGGAAAAATCACTTTAGAAAATGAAAAATAGAGGTTTGAAGGGAGAGAGGACAGGGCAGCAGAGACTGACAGGAATAGGCCCGCCCTTTCCTGTTGTTCTGATCAGTCTGCTCACAGAAGAGAACTTTATCATAAGATGGATTTTATTTCCTTTACAGGACTTCCTTCGGTCCCAGGTTAATGGAACCATTTACTGGATTGGATTATCATATGATAAACAGGAGAAGAAATGGAAATGGATTGGCAGTGGCTCATCTAACCTGTGAGTTTGTAGAATCATTCAGACTCTAACACTGGTGTGGAAGCTGAAAGGACCTTATAAGTGTGTCCTAAAATTTCACACAGCTTTGCTCATTTCAAATGGAGGTCAGTGGTAAGAGCAAGAAGAATAAGAAAGTATCTGAGCAAGCTGTCAAAAAGAAAGAGAAAAAAGATTATGACTCCTATTAGCAATATAAGGAATAAAATGCCTAATAGAAGCTCTGAAGTGTGTTCTAACATGCACAGGGTCAAACCAAATAAAAATTTTGAGGTGATGTGAAGTGACTAGATTATCCTGACAGATATGAGTTTTAGTATCCCCCACACTCATGTGACACATATAGTTAGTTTTTATGTTTATTATGAATATTCAAATAAATGCATATGCTCACATACTTATGTATTTATACTTCCCATTTTAATGTGCAGGCATGTAAATTATGAAGTTCACATTTGCTTCTAATCTGCTACAAAAGTGTTTATTGATTCTTCCAGAAATATAATTACACTTTTGTTCTTAGGAATTCTGTATTTGTCTTTAAATAAGACATAATAATTCTGTATTTGTCTTTGCTAGCTATTTATATTTTCAAATTCTGTTATATATTTTTTAATAATCAGTTTAATTTTCATTATTTTGTTGTTGTTGGTATAAGATGGAGTTTCATGTAGAGCAAGGTGGCCTTGAAAGCCTTGTCCTTTTTCCTCTACCACACAAAGGCTGGGATGACAGGCCTGTCTCACTGTGTCTGATCTGCTGTCATTTATGTCTTGAAAGATATTAAATACATTTATTTTATACTAGGATTTGCATGCAATCAAGTGACTTTTTCTTTTTAATGAGCTAAGAAGAAAAGAAAATCTTTTAGTGATGAATTTATGATTAATATTTCTATATTCTGTAAATTTTGACCAATAGAATTTTTTTGTTCTTTTTGAGACAGGGTCTTCCTGTAGCCCCAGCTGGCCCAGAATTACCTATGTAGACTGTGCTGGCCTTGAATTTACAGAGATCTGCCTGGCTCTTCCTCACGTGTGCTGGGATCAAAAGCATACGCCACCATGTCTGGCTTTTACTAGTAGAATTTTTTTAAAAAAGAACACAATTTACCTCAATGTAAGACTCAACCATAAATAATTGCCCGTTATGTGTCTCGTTCTACAGTGATTTGACTGCATTGAATTTACAAAGTCCAGGAGGAACGTGTGCATTTTTTACTTCAACAAGAATAGGCGATAGTGACTGCGGTAAAACCTACCCGTGCATCTGTGAAAAGAGAATGGACACGTTCTCTGATTCAGTCTGCAACAAGAAGGAAAGGTAAACACAGAGCTTTGTCATTTTGTGTTTCCTGTAGTAGTCTGCGACTGCTCACAATGACATCTTTCTGACCACAGGATTTAGTCAACTGGACAAAACAGAGCTAGGAGATGGAGGAGGAGGGTAATGACCTTCTGGAATCTGACTTACCAGATCATAGCCATTTTCCTTCCTGGAGGAGACAGAGCAGCTTGTCTGGAGGGTGGGCATCCTTTGCTCCAAGGTCCTGAGGAATGGCTCTTTCTGTGTCCTGAGCCACCCACAGAACCAAATAAAACATCCTGATAAATAGATATTTTGTTATAATATGATAAATAATTTCAATATCTTTTGACTTTGATGACATGGTTTCTATAATATACCAGTGTTTCTGTTTATTTTTTGGTTACTTTGTGTTATTTTTTGCATTTCAAAAATGTCATCATCTTTAAAAAC